GGAGTATTTCAAACCGGATCTCATCTGGCCTCAATCCATTCGTCATGGTGTCACGGTAGCAACGTTCAAACAGAACCTGTATGTGTCTGTCCGCATTTTCCAAATTGTTCACTTTGTCAAGAAATTCAGTAAGAGACAGGTCACAGTTAACATTCTGTGCAAGCAGCAGTTTGCCGTCAAGTTGCCTAATAGCAAGCTGGAGTTGTTTTCTTATTCGGTATTGAGATAGCTGCTTTATTCTTTATATGACACTTAGATGCAGTGAGAGATTGACCTAGATATCTTCAGGAGTAGGGAGACAGATACAGGCCAGTGATATGGGCTGGGTATCGTGTGTTGGTCGGGTGGATGTGAGAAGCAGGGATATAAATAGTCATTATCGGTGGAGCTTCTCAGTGCTTGCCTAGGGTAAGACTTTGAGAGTGAATGTGGTATCTAAATATATAAACACAACGGTTGCTTATAAATTACATATAACCAAAGAAAGGTAGTGTACTTTGGTGAATTCTCCAACAATGGATATTTTCGACTGTTCAGGATAATCCATCCATTGTATGCAGGGGAGAAAAATAAAAAAAGAAAAGAAAGATGGTAGATATGGATAACCCAGAACCGATACCTTCACCGTACTTACCTGTAGGACTACGTACATCGACGTTAGTTCGCAAGGCTTAGGTTGCGGCCAGGCTAGAATTCTTACAGACATATAATAGACCAAACCCGTCTATCACCAGCTAAACATGCGAATGTAGGATAGATATCAAAAACTGACTGGATTGTAAAGGAACTGATACTCCTAAGAAAGTTTAATTTACTCTTAAGAGTCCTAGACTCTTATTTCTAAAGATATTGCTGCACCTCCTATAATAAATATCAGCCCCGAAGCGGGTAGGGTTTTCCCAGGAAAACAGTTATTTTCCATATTGTGTCGTGATTTCATTGTCTGCCTAAAACACATTCCCTACAATGCTGGTACGGTTCAATATGGGATTTCTGGCAGAACCCCGGGTGTAAATATCAATAATGCTGCCAGTAGCTCATTGATATATATTCAACCTCGCCCGAAGATGATTATGCAGCCCACGCAGCAGAGTACCGAGTTATAAGATAGCTATTCATGGTATGCATCTGGGATTTATAATGGTTGTTCTCTTCTGAGTCATGAACCTATAACGGTATTAGATGAACCTTCTTGATCTCCCGGGAGGAATCCTTCTCTCCATCGCCGCAAGGCTTGGTAGCTCGTATGATATCTTTATCTGTGCGCTCATCACAAAGACCTTATATAGGATTCTTCTGCCAGAAGTTTACAAATTCAACGTCCGATACGAGAATAGCTGTCATCTACATTGGGCTGCCATGACCAACAATCTGCAGATAACAGAACCACTTAACCACTTTCATGCCAATATCAACGCAGTGTTCAAATCCTCTACCCCGCTCATTTACGCAGCATGTTGGGGGTCCGCCGACGTTGTTGAGCTTCTGCTGAGGCAGCAGGGCATATGTCTTAGAGTCAAGGGCTCTAATGACCGGACAGCGTTGTGGTAGGCCGCAGCCGACGGACACATCAAGGTCATCAGACGACTGCTGCATGTTGTATTACTATACTACGTTTAAAACTTAAGAGCTTCGCGCTCTGCTATAAAGGAACAAGCTTAGGGAAAAAGGTTCTGGTGTTTTTTAACATGACCCTTGAAAATTGAAAAAAGTAAAGGCTGACCAGCTATGTATGTAGTTTGGCAGGAGTTCAAAAAATGATGACAAGAGTGGGATTCGAACCCACGCGTCTTGCGACATGTGAAACCACTAGTTATCTAGTGCTAAGATAAGATCTTGAGTCACACCTGTTTTGGATTAGTAATTAATATAAATGAGGTGAAAATATGTGACTTACACCTTAACCACTCGGTCATCTTGCCGTATTTGTTTCCTTTTCTCTTGTTTTTCATTAATATACGACCGAGGAAAAGACTTGGCAAAGACACCCGCAACCACTCTGTATGTACATATAACCCTACTAATCTAAATTAGGAGGGTTACTTGAAACTTTCTAAACATGGAATACCTGGCCAGCAACTGGTGTTTCAGGAATATTCTATGTATAATTGAGAGAATCTGATTCCTCTGGTTTTTGTGCAGTGGAGTGTAGTGTAGAATGAATTTACCAGGCTTTTTGAACGGCTTTGAGTTCTGCATTTATCTATATATGGATTGTAAATTTTGCAGCGGACCTGGCCGAGAATTGCCCTATCCATACCAAGTGCTTGAGAGTAGGCGATTTCGCTTGGTTGTGTCTGTAAAAATCACTCAGAACTCTACTTCAACCTAGCAGAATTCCCCCACTCCAATTTTGCTTTCTGGATCTTGTAGAAGAGTTCCTGAGTGGTATTCCGAAGCTTAATGGCAATGCTGCATGTAGACTCAGTTTTGTCTGGAAAGATAATCAGATTTCTGGGCTTCTCAACTTGTGTTGTATCTTAGTACTAGTAACAGCCTACCTATGGATAGCCAACTAAATAAGTAGCTAAATCCAACTCACTTAGTCATCAGGTCGGCAAGATGACCGAGTGGTTAAGGTGTAAGTTACCTATTCTTAGGTCACCTCTTTATACTCATTACTAATTCAAACAAGGTGTGACTCAAGATATTTATCTTAGCACTAGATAACTAGTGGTTTCACATGTCGCAAGACGCGTGGGTTCGAATCCCACTCTTGTCATCATTTTTTGAACCATTGTTGGTATGGGCCTTCTCCAGAATCCAGTGTAGATATCCTAATGTATCTACGGAGTACATTTTGGTTGTGTTGAAAGGTCCTGGAAAAACCATTTGAACCCACCACTATACCAGATAGGGTTAGGCACTTCCGCTAGACCTATCAGTAAACCGAACAAGAAACCTGAAATCAAAGAAACTATACTAGCACAACCTCATCCAGCTTGTTAAAGAACCCCGATATTTATATCTGGTCTTGGTTATATACGGAACACTAAAATCGCTTAAAGTAATATACAAAAAGCTACCTCATGCCACAGATTGCATGGCGGTGTGGTTTGATGACTGTACAGTATATATGTATAAACAACGCGGCGGCCGAACAACCGCCTCAGGTAATATATCCGTTGCCTTTTCAATATCATTGCATTGAGCCCACACTAAGATAAGATTATGAAAATGGGGAAAATTCTCTAGGAATAAGATTCCTGGCACTACTGGTGGATCAGACATCCAGCCCACTGCGGGCTGCATAGGCCATCTTTGTCAAATTGACTGTCCTATATGATCTAGATCTAGGTTTTACCAATTGAATGGCCTTATCTACTAAAACTGCTGATTGTACGGGCCCGTGGAAGGCCCAAGGGGTCTAGAAATCGAGAGATATCAGGCGGCAGACTGGTAGGCCGGCAGTCAAGCAGTCAGCCAGGTAGCAATCCTACTATGCTGGAAGGTCCTTCCTGAATACGATTTATCAGTGGCCTCAAAGACTAATTTACAGTACTTTAAGTATAAGGTATAATTCTTTCCTCTTAGTTTAGTGTGAGGTCCAAATAACACGTTCTCCGTAGTTATTCACAGATGCTTCCTATTCTGGACTAGCTCCCGCAACTAGCCCTAAGTATAGGCCCAAGTGGCTTTTTGGAATGTTCTTGTGATCTCATCTTTGCAAAATTATTCCATCAGCATGGCAAGATGACCGAGTGGTTAAGGTGTAAGTTAAACATATTTTCGCCTCTTTATACTGAGTACTAATAAACAATGAAGGTATGACTCAAGATCTATTCTTAGCACTAGATAACTAGTGGTTTCATATGTCGCAAGACGCGTGGGTTCGAATCCCACTCTTGTCAGATCCTCTTTTTGACTCTATTACTTCAAATCATTTTTTGCTTGTTCCGGCGGCGGCAGGCTGCTAGATCTATATAAGGTGCGATTCAGGCGACATCAGACATAGTTCGAGTATGGTGGCTTTTTGGCCGAGCTAGGAACGGAATAGAAGCTGGCTATCCTGCCTTTTGGAAACCACGTGGGCACCCTAGAGAACTATAGGATTCTGGGTTCAGAACTCGATAATATTATCCTGTATTGACGGCATCTATCACTACTAATAACTATTTCCCCACTTTCAACATTATTTCATCATACGAGCAATCCAATCATCCCTTGCCTTAGCACCAGCTTTCGAAAGAGCAGCTTCAGGAACCAATCCATGAAAAGCACCAGGCCAGACATGCAATTCAACCAAGGCCCCCGAAGCCAGAAGACCGGACGCATATGCAATGCTCTCATCCCGAAACCCCTCGGCCGAGTCAACATCAATGTTTTTGTCGTAGAAATGGGGACTTAGAGAACGAATCAAGAGAAGAAGAGGCAAGGAAGGGTAGAGTCGAGGTAAATGGATTTGTTTACCAACTGATTCACGAACTATATACTAGTAGTACCTTCGTCTCCTTTGAACCAAATCCCCTAGGGGTCAGCCATCGTGATTTCTTGGGCTTTGACTATCGTGATAGGCTGACCCAGCATCCTCATGCATAATGAAGTAGTCCAAGGGAGTGACAGGCAGATGAATCATAATGAAAATTTGAGATTACTTGCGTGGTCAGGACGCTAAGCATAGCGGTAGATGACGGTCTATTTAGGGCTAAGTTTGGCCAGCGAAACATTGAACGTATGCGGGTCCCAAGATTCAATGTGAAGTAAAGTAGACATGAAAAAAAGTAAAGAATGCATTGTCGCTCTATTCTATCCTTAGTCTTGATATTCACTCGGACATTCGACTTCTCCTGACCCCCTCTAGCCTTCCTGATGGTCTGTCTGTCTATAACTATACAGCCCCAACGCCAAGACTCACTTAACTGCGCATAGTTAGATTCAAAAAGACCCCTCGATCTGTCTCATATAATAGGAACATGAGTACCTCCGTCTTACACTAGAATCCAACAAGTGACCAACACTTCCGCACACCCCATCAATCGGATTCAATCCTCACTCCAAAAATGGCGCACACCTTCTACGACGGAACCATCCCGGTAGTCCAATCCATCCTCACAACCCTATCCCACATCCTACAGCAAGCCTCGCAACAGCCCAATGCCGCCGCCCTCCTCTCCGCCCGTCTCCACGAGGACATGTACCCTCTAACCGACCAAGTGCGCATCACGACCCAGTTCGCCGCGAACCTGGTCGCCAGACTGACCGGCCAGTCGCCGGTGTCGTTCGACGGCTGTCCCGCGACATATGCCGAGTGCCACGGGCGCATTGAGACGGTGCTGAAGGCGCTCCAGCAGGCCGATAAGGACGTCGTCAACCGGCACGCCGACGTCGTGGCGTCCACTCCCATGGGCCCCGAGAAGGCGGTCGACATGCCCGCCGCCGCGTATGCTCATACCGTTGCCTTGCCCAATATCTATTTCCATCTTACGACTGCGTATGCCATCCTGAGGAAGGAGGGCGTGCCGCTGGGGAAGCGGGATTATTATGTGGGGTTTTTCCCGGGGGTTAGAGGGTGAGACTTTGGGTTTATTTTATGGATATAGATGGCCATAGCTGTGGGGTTGTAGTTGAGTACTCTCTCCAGGATGTTATGTGTCAGTGGTGACACACTTCAGCCTTTATACTAGTTCACACTTTTTATCTATTATCCACGGAGAAATCAACAATTGTCAATCTCAAGAGGTAGACCTACATGTCATCCCGAGATCTAGAAGCAGTTATTTCAGCACCAGTTCCACACATTCTATATCCAGAGGGACGTGAGAATAAGTCGTTCTGACTATATTCAATTCCCGACTAACCGTGCCCTAAACAAGCAGAACACGAGAGCGGTTGATACTATGTACATATCACTTTGAACGTGATTACCTCGGAAAACACGAGGTTAAAATGAAAGACAAAAATAGATTTAATAGGGTATACTAGTACCAAGTCCCATTCTATGTAGAGACACATGTAACCCTACCCTACCTAAGTTACCATCACAATAATCCCACCAACCCACTACAACACCAATAAACCTCACCAAACAAGACAAAACAGCCTAACCTGCATTAGTAACAAGATAAAGTCCCAACTAGTAACTAGCAGTGGTAGCAGCAAATGACGTAGCCCCCGTATATCCCATCCATGGTACATGTGACGCCTCCCCCGCACTGCCAATGGAAGTACACCCACGTATTTAATCCCCTCACCAGCACTGATGTACTACTAGTAGTTACCTCCCCAACAGTTACGACTCCATTCCTCAAAGATGTCCGACTCGCTAGATCTAGCCATCTGCTCAACCTGTGGAACGCAGTATCCTACAACATGCGAATCGTCGTGTAAGATCTGTGACGATCCGAGGCAGTTCATTCCTGCGACTGGGTAAATCTACATCCCCTCTCTTCTTATCTTCAATTATAACCCAGGGATATCTTGAGAGAAGAAGGAAGGTACCGATTGTACCGATACATTAGTACTGTATATATGTGCAAGGAAAAATAATACTGACTATAATATATCCCTCCCAAGACAATCCTGGACAACACTCCGCGCTCTCCAAAGCTCCACAACATATCATAATGAATTCATCCCTGATTCAGTTCACAAGGATTTAATCTCCATTCACACCGTCCCGAGAGTGGCCATCGGTCAGCGCGCCTTACTATGTCGCACGCCTACTGGGAATCTCCTCTGGGATTGCATCACCTATATCGATGACGAGACCGTCGCCAAGATCAACGAGCTGGGCGGGTTGAAAGGTATAGTTATCTCGCATCCGCATTTCTACACGACGCACCTCCACTGGGCGGAGGTCTTTGACTGTCCTGTTTACTTGGCTCGGGAGGATCGAGAGTGGGTGGTGCGCACGGGCGAGAGGCAGGTTCTTTGGGATTCGTCACGGTTGTCGGTTTCGGGGATGGATGCGGATTTGGTGGCTGTGAAGACCGGGGGGCATTTTCCTGGGAGTTCGGTGCTTTGGTGGAGGTCCTTGAGGGTGTTGTTGGTTGCGGATTCGATCGGGGTGGTGCCGAGTGGGATTTATCATGTTGGGAGGTTGCCGGGGACTGTGTCGTTTACTTTTATGTGGTCGTATCCTAATATGGTCTGTCCTTTCTTACTTTTCTTATCTCTTTTGTTTTATGTTGGCTGACCGACACAGATACCTCTACCGCCGGATGATGTGCATCACATCTGGAAGGCCGTCAAGGATGTGGATTTTGACGATATCCGTGGCGGCTTCATGGGAACGGATGTAACCGGCAATTGTAGACAGCGTGTGCTAGAGAGTGCTAAGATCTTTGTCAAGTCCATGGGATATTTCGACCATGCAATTCACGAGGAACAATGTCTTTAACGCGAGCCCTATGTATATGGAAAACAAGTACAGCCTGGTAGAATGAACAGACCCACGGCCAGTCTTCATCAATGGGTTAACAATAAAGACCGTTCAGCCAAAGCACCAACTCAGATACTCAAAGCATCGCTAAGAATGATCCACTACGACAGGTCCGAAAACGGCCGCACAGAAGTCGCACTCCGCCCTCTTGTACAGAGGGGTGTCATGGACAAAGTATTCCCATACGACCCTTCACTGATAGAAAATCTTCCCGGATAACTCTCCGTCGACCGAGAAGGTCTTGATACCACCTCCATTTTCAGGGTCCCATGCGAGTCGTTCGCCAGGGCCGACCCAACAGACCACAGCCGACTGATAGGACTCAAGCGCGGTCTCTCAGCCCGGAACGTAGCATACTCTGGGTTCAAAGTAGATACGCTGTCCTGATCCACAGTATGAGTGACAGACAAGAGACTTTGTTCTTCTTCGTTGGCGCAGAGTAGCCTGCTGCTTGGCTTGCTGATCCTGGGAGTTGAGGGCTGGGAGGAAACGGTTCCACGCCGCGGCTTGACCCACGCTGCCACAGACGGAATCCAGTGGGTATACCGGGTGAGGTATGAATAAGAGGGCTCTGCACGTCAGACGATGTCCGGATCTCATCGGCAGGGCCGTCGACTGCTGGCAAATGTGCTATCTCGATTGTATCCCGAATGGTGGGCGAGCGGAAGACACCCTCGGGCATGATGGATAAGAAAATATCAATGATCAGTTGCTCTCGGCGAACGATAGCTCGAGTGACTGGGCTTTTCAGTGGTCGTCTTCGGCTCTTGTCCAGGCGAAATAGGAATGCGATAGCGTGGAGAAGCTTCAGGGTTATGAGGGCTCCCAGAAGAGAGAGGACCTCACCGGTGCTGATGATGATGGGGTTGTTGGAGGGAAGAGCAGACTCTTCGTCGGTGTGGGTTGCCATGAGAGCTGATGGCGTAGCCTTTGCTGGAAATGAGTGTATATATCAGAAAGGATGTCAGATAGGCTGATAGTTCTTGTCAAGAGAACAAAAGGTGGGCTTGAGATATGAGAGCGTTCATGAGTATGAGGAATTGCCCGTTCACGGAATAAGGAAAGAGCAACGGGGGACAACACAGACACTTCCCTACTGCTTACAGCCTCTACGGTTTTGTAGTAGAGTAGCATTCACTTTCTAGAAGCGAAGTATTAAGTCTGTTAATGAAATGACCGTAACTTCTATAATCGAATCACCAGGTGCGGCAGGAGAGACGTGAAGGTCCTGGTCCTGCATACATAGAGACGTGGTCCATTCCTACTGCCGAAGACAAACAGATATATAAAATCCTCAACATCAGCGCGGTAAAATCTCCGAAGCGACCAGCATCCAATCCTCCCCCGGCCCTTCATTAGCCAAAGCGCCACCCGGCGTCCACTGCAGAAAAGGATCCTGTTCCTGAGATGGCGTAGTAACACTAACCCCCCTTCCCTAAAATCACAGAAGAAGAACTTCAAAGGATCTATCACGTTACCGCCTAAGGGGCATATCAAACGGTGTCGGTTGTCTGAGGAAAGGGACACAGACCGGTGTGTGTTACCCCTTTCCATCAACGTGAGCTGTAAAATGTCTCTGCCGACTAGGACCAGAGATTCAACGCGCCTAGGGCACAATTGGAGGCAGAATTTCGAACGGTACCTTGTTGAAACCTTCACTTCAACTTTATCGGGACGCACAAACCACCAATCTGGTGCATTTCGGTTGCGGATGTAGTAGCATCGATTGTTGACGTGGCCAGAAGCATTGTCGTCTGGAGGATTGGTCGGGTTGATAGCTATCTGGTTGGTAAGGGGGCCGATGAAGAGTTTCCCTCTCAGCCAATTTTGAGCTTGCTCTGGGATGTCCCGGTTCGTGCCCTGGTGGATTTCGGTGATGAGATTGGTCAATAACATGGCGGTATTCTCGTGGGTTGACTGGATAGACCAGAACGTGGGGGTGTAGATTGTTTGAAGTGGAGTAAATCCCAACGCCGTTATGGCAGTGTGCTCTTGCAGTTGTCGGAAGAAATAGTCGGCAGTCTCCCGGCTAAGGGTGGTGAGGACATATAGGCTGCTACTGAGAGCACCTCTCACTACTATCTGGACATAGTATGGCATCTTGAGTCTCCCAGGCGTGGGATGATAGAGCAATGACAAGTAACTAGTGATGGATAGTGAGAAATATCTGGTAACGACTGTGTTAAACGAAATAGATAGTGAGTATAAAGCGGGCATGGTACAATGCATTGAATGAACGAGAGAAGAGACTCGACTTATAAGAAGTTCTCCGTCCTCTCCACAGCCGTTCCTTCCTTCTGATATGTCCTCGCCGGAAGGAACTAGGAAGGAGACTGGGAAGGAAGCCGAGAAAGACGCCTGTATTAGTATGAGATGGACGGGCGTCGTTTCTCTAGAATGTATAGATTGGTTCATGTGATGGTCAATCCAGAATACGCCAACATATGTTCACAAGTAAAGCAAGATAGGTAATACTGGTCTGTGCCGCCATGGCGGGTGCTCACACCGTCGATTATGAATGTGCATATTGTGATCCTGAACTCTAGACTATATCAACACGAACACGATCGAGTGCTTTTGATTCGAATTATGCATGGCAAGAAGAATCATCACCAATAGCCAACAAGATATGTGGAAGAGAAGGGAATCGCTATTGGACATCGCAGGTACATGGTATTGTAAGAAAGAAAACCAAAATTTACAGCCTCATCCACCCCTTTGCCCGATAATAAACATGTTGTAAAATCAAGTCATCGTGCGTATGCAAGGACGCTAGGCATAACATACGTAGAATCATAAGAAATAGAAGTTGGTGAATAGCAGAAGTCGTTATGTCGTAAGGAAGTATTGGCATCCACTTGTCAAGCGAGACTAGTAGAGAGATTCCTCGTCGACCTGATCGGGGCTTGCTCGATATTGACTTCGCTTCCTTCGGCCAGGACTGCTATATTGACTGCCCGAATTCAGCGGACGAGGCCCGGTAGGTTTACGGGGAGGTGGTGTGCTGCGCGGAGACGAGCGTAATGCAGAGTTCTAATCATTCAGTCAGCTTCTCTTCAATGCTGCACACCCTCGACGAAAGTAGACTTACCCGTGAAGCAACGCGATCCACGTACGATCGCTCATCGTCCTCCTTGACCTTTGGCGGCCGCTCAGGGACCAATGGACCGTCATCCTTGATCTTTGGGGGCCTTGGTGGACCAGTCTGTCGAGAGCTGGCCTCCGAGTAGCCTGCATCCGAAATCGGGGAGAGCCGACTGGCGCCGCTGCTGTGTCGCGGATTGGGGTTTGCAGCTGACAAGCTCGGGTTCGAATTCCACTGGTCCGAGGGGGCGCCAGATGGCATCCCGTAAATCTGGGCTTGTGTTTCCAGCTGTGACTGGTATCGGCCAGTAGGCCCCTGACGAGGCTGAGGATGTTGAAGATCCAGACTATCTCGGTGAGCTCTGTATTTCGGAGCTTCCGAAACTTGGGAAGGAACCAAAGGCGATGGCGGGCGGTTCTCCTGCTGTCGGTCATCTAGGGTGTAGGTCGACCGCAGTCTGTCGTCGCCTTGGGGATCGTACCAGTCAGCGGCCTTGTACGGTCCCTGGATATCGGACCCTGAGCGCGAAGCATCGAAAGACGGGCGCTCCTTGCGGGCTGGCTGGATGCTATTGCGGATATTGTCTCCCATGGAAGACGCTGTGGTTTTGGACCAACGGGAAATCTTGGGGAAGAACGAGGAGCTGCTTGACTTGTGCTTCTTGGCTTTCTCATTCGTCTTCGGGGACGTTTCATTACTGAGAGCGCCAGAGGCCATGGGTGCCCGAGGTGGCGTGGAGGCCGAGGAGGGTCCAGCCCTGTCCTGTCGGCCGTTTGTGCTGTCGAACGATGCCGGGTTCGGGCCCAAGAATTCTCCACGCTCATTGATTTCCATCTCCTCATCGGCTTCTGGAACAGTGCTGACACGATGCTCAGAATCTCTCCGCAATCCATTACCACGTGATTCCGGCATTGGCCGAGAAGAAGTGGATAGCAAGTATCCGGAATGGTCGGGAGAAGAAGTTCCAGCATGTCCTTCGGGCTCGTAGCCTTCTGGATCTACACTAGCAGAGCGAGGCCCGCTGCGGCCCAGCCTCTCGTCTTGACCATCGCGGAGTGCTTCAACCTCATCGAGCAGCTGCTCCAGCATGTCCTCAATCCTGGACAGGTCGTTGGAAGACTTGAGACTGAGTCCTTTAAGTGCACGCTTGAAAACGTTCTTACGCTTGGAGCGTAGGTCTTCTTCGTCTGCAGAAGACTGGCGGGCACCTCTGGTGCTGGCCGGCAATGGGCGAGGGCCTCCGAGAGCTCTGTACGTTCGGTCGTGCTGCTTGTCACTTGCCTCCATGAGCATCCCGTCCTGCTGAGCAATGAACTTCTTCATTTCCTCGAAAGAGTTACGCATCTCCGCTGCGCTTCTAACAAGGGTAACCAAAATCTCCGTATCGCGAGCATTTCGCTGGGCGTCGCGCACGGTGAGCTGTGTACAAGTCAGCATCAGTTCGCACAATTTACATTCTGTATCGGAATACTTACGTGGTCCATGAGTGCGACAATATCTTTGGACTGGATACGGTCAATGCCCCTCCCAGTTGCACTATCGTACAGAGGCGAGCCGACACCCTGGGAGTAGCCACTGAGTTGCCGTTGGTGACCAGGCATGAACTGATCATCAGCTCCAGTAGGACTGTCAAAGAGACCCATACCGTTGGTGTCCATACCGCCAAAGCCCTTGTCCAAAGGCTCTGGGGTATCGACACCCGGCGAGAGAGGGTTTGGGGCGGACACATAGCCTTCATCTTTACCTGGCGGCGTGCCGAACAACGGCCCTCTTGAGTACTGATGATCAAGGTAGTCATCGGGATTGTAGTCGTTTGTTTCATAGTAGTCATGACCGTAATCGGGTTGGTCATCCAACTCCAGGCCTTTATTGCCAGCGGAACCAGCATTGTCGAACATAGGCGACTGGCCACGGTTATCCGGCGTCTGCTCATATGCCCAGCTACTTCCATGCATGCCTCCTCCGATTGGCCCTTGGATGATAGATGGATTCGTATTGATCTCCGATTCAGAATCTGGGCTTCGGTCGACGTCTGGACTGGGGCTCTCATGGTCATGGATGTCTTCCGAAAACATGTGTGTCGGGTCGGTTTGGTCTTCCAATGACTGTGTAACGCTCTGGGGAGGCGACGTGGCTCCCATTCGTCGGGGGAAAGAGGTCGCGTCTGGACTGGAGGCGTCTTGACGTTGTTTCAAAGGGCTTCCTTGGCGGGATCCGTGAGGAGTCTGGTTTGTCCTTTCCCCTAGCTTAGGAGTTTGACCTTCCAAACGCCGAGAGAGGTCCGTCTGCGAGCGATTTGTTGCAGATTGATTGGACTTCGTGTCCATAATTGACGGATCAAGAAGAGAGGCCACGGCGGATTCGACTGCTATGGGATGGATAACCTGAGGGTTGGCACCGATGCCTGCAACGGGCTGACCTTGGTTTACTTTTTCCATGTAGCTCACCTCACTCTCGTCCGCAAAGCCGGTCATCCTTTTGGGGTCAGTACTTGCGGTCTCCGTCATCGATCGTGGTGACATGGCGGGGGATTCTTCATACCCAAGTTCAGCCCCATACTTGTTGTTATTTCGTAGGATCTCTTTTTGGCCGGCAAGATTGATACCGTGAGGTCGTGAAGACCTTGCAAGGTTGGTACTTGGGGCAGATGAAAGCGAATCTATGGAGAGGCGTTGCTCCATCTCTTTCTCAGTTCCAGAGAATTCATGCTCAATTGGTTGGGTTGAATCCTGTTTAATGTGGGACTCGCTCTGGTTGCTAGCCACGCTCTGGATGGGGCTGAGGGTGCGCCGACGGTCAGTGAATTTAGAGCCGTGACGCCCGTACTGTTCATCTAGGAGGTTGGCCGCTGCGGCAGCTGCAATAGCTCCAGCGGCAGCGTCACCTACAGGTGAAAGGCTCCGTTCGCGATCTTCTTCTTCGGGATAATCGTGGAGCGACAGGTCGTGGCTAGAGAAGTTGCTATGCTTAAGGTCATATCGTGAATCCAGCAATTCTCGATGCGGACTATGGCCCTCGTGGATTTCGGAGGTCTCACGGGAACCATAGGGCTCTGCGGTCTGTTCGGAAAGAAGCGAGTCTCGGGTCATGTCGGACTCAATCGCGCTGCGCAGCGGCATGGGTGCCACGTTGTGTTTCTGGAAGACCAATTCGGTATCGTTGAAACTGCCACTCCTCGGGCCACTTGGCCTTCGTCGTTCAGTTTTGTCGATGCTGGAACGAGAATCATGGTGCTTAAGCGCGGCTGCGGTCAGAGCTGACCCAACTCTGGCGGCCTTTTCGGCATCCCGCAACCCCTTGCTCTTTTGCCGACGTAGCTTCTCCTGTTCTGTCAGTTCTGGCCGAAGGCCCCATTTGACGTAGCTTGCTTCGGACGGTGAGTCGCTGCCCTTGCTGGGCCTGCGCTCTTGTTGCGTGGGAGCCGGCTCGCCGGAAAGGACTATGCCCTCGTCCTGGTCATCCTTATTCAGGACGACGGTAGGCCACGTCACATCAGGAGCGCTGGCATGCTTCGAGAGGCGTCTTCTGAGTTCGTCTCGCGATGGGGTGCTCGCGGACGAGTGTGATGCATTCATGTCACGTTCAAATTTGGACGTATTGGTCATCACCTTTTGGTCCTTTTTGAGCTCTTTTAGCTCGGGCAATATCAACCGACGGATGGCATCTTCAACGGTTTCGAGAAGCTTTGGGTTGTTGATTGAGGACTTGGAGGTGCCAGACCGGAAGGAATACTGATCGCCAGACTTACGATGGGCGGACAGCGCCGACGTGCTGAGCAAACTCGGATTCGGACTCATGTCTTCGTCCGGATACGCCGACAAGCGAGATCGGGACTTGGACTCTGGTTCGTGGAAGTCGACAAGGTCTCCCTTGTTCTGTTGGCCTTTGGAAGTCTCACGAGGATCGTTACTCAGTTTCTCTGCGACTCGATGAGCGATGCGTTCCGTACTCAGACTGCGGCTTCTTTGTCGCCTAGGTGTTTGGAGGTAGTCTTTGTATTCCGGACTGTGCTCGC